TTTCCATATATATTTCTTAACATGTTTAAGGTCCTGCTCAAGTACACTGTAATTGTTGAGTGGAGACCTTTGCAATGTACCACCAGTTTTAATTACTATTTCTTTGGGGGTTATTTTATATTTCCTAAATGTGTACAACAGTGTTTAGCAACTTTCTGTTCCTAATCTCAACTTTTATTTCAAAATGTACTACAGTCTTCTATTATGAAGGAATCTCTCAAAGTAATTGAATTTATAAAATACAATTTACTGTCATATCTTTTTTAATAAAACCCCATTTCATAGCAAGGTAAGGTGTCAATATCAAATTGTATTTGTCACAATTTTTATTCCAAATAACTTTGGAATATTTAATGGCCGCATTATTTAATTAGGATGTAAATTTATACTGCCCTTTACTATCAATTTAAAAGTCAGTGTATTACATAAAGTCAAGTTTTAATATTCTTCCAGGATCATGTATGATAAAGATCTCAGACTTGCACGAATACAATATAAATTATATTTTCCCCCATTATTGAATGAAGATCCAAAATAGTTTACAGCTCTTGGGACATGTTAAAAAAAGAAAAGAATACAAGTATGAACTTGAACTGCAGCTATTCATGATTGTTAAAAAGCAAAATGTTATTTTCTAGTTGCTGCATTATGATTCCAGAGGGCAGCCAGTTGCTGGACTCTATAAACTGGATAGCCTGGTACCTTGTAGATTCTAACAAAAACTTTACAACAGTTTAGTCCCAAGCAAGTGCAAGTTTTCAAAAATGAAACCTCCAAAATTCATTTACAAGATTTGTACACAGCTTTATCTCTAGTAGTTTCATATTTCAAATCAATATTTATCATCTAAATCATGGTATTATTACCATGGAGCCTGGAATTGACTCTTGGTAAGTGATGTAGCACACTGGAATTGGCTCTTGGTAAGTGATGATTTGGCACACTGGAATTGACTCTTGGTAAGTGATGATTTGGCACACTGGAATTGACTCTTGGTAAGTGATGATTTGGCACACTGGAATTGACTCTTGGTAAGTGCTGATTTGGCACACTGGAATTGACTCTTGGTAAGTGATGATTTGGCACACTGGAATCAACTCTTGGTAAGTGATGATTTGGCACACTGGAATAGACTCTTGGTAAGTGATGATTTGGCACACTGGAATAAACTCTTGGTAAGTGATGATTTGGCACACTGGAATTGACTCTTGGTAAGTGATGATTTGGCACACTGGAATCAACTCTTGGTAAGTGCTGATTTGGCACACTGGAATTGACTCTTGGTAAGTGATGATTTGGCACACTGGAATCAACTCTTGGTAAGTGATGATTTGGCACACTGGAATAGACTCTTGGTAAGTGATGATTTGGCACACTGGAATAAACTCTTGGTAAGTGATGATTTGGCACACTGGAATTGACTCTTGGTAAGTGATGATTTGGCACACTGGAATTGACTCTTGGTGAGTGATGATTTGGCACACTGTAAATGACTCTTGGTAAGTGATGATTTGGCACACTGGAATTGACTCTTGGTAGGTGATAATCTGACACTAGAATTGACTCTTGGTAAGTGATAATCTGGCACACTGGAATAAACTCTTAGTAAGTATTGACTAGAACTGACTTGAGTAGGTGCTGATTTGGCACACTGGAATTGACACTTAAGTGCTGACTGGAAATGACTTAGTAGGTGCTAATTTGGCACATTGGAATTAATGCTTAGTATCTACTGATTGGAACTGACTCTAAGTACTGATTTTTGGCACACTAGAAAAACTCTAAGTGTTGATTTGGCACACTGGAATATACTCTCAGCAAGTGCTGATTTGGCACACTGGAATTGACTCTTGGTAAGTGATGATTTGGCACACTGGAATTGACTCTTAGTAAGTACTGATTTGGCACACTGGAATTGACTCTTGGTAAGTGATGATTTGGCACACTGGAATTGACTCTTAGTAAGTGATGATTTGGCACACTGGAATTGACTCTTACTAAGTGCTGATTTAGCACACTGGAATTGACTCTATATAAGTGCTGATTTGGCACACTGGAACTGACTTTTTCTAAGTGCTGATTTAGCACACTGGAAGTGACTCTTTGCAATTGCTGATTTGGCACACTGAAACCGATTCTTACTAAATGCTGATTTAGCACACTGGGCTTGACTCTATGTAAGTGCTGATTTGGCACACTGGAAATGACTCTTACTAAGTGCTGATTTAATACACTGGAATTGACTATGACTATGTAAATGCTGATTTGGCACACTGGAATTGACTCTTAGTAAGTGCTGATTTGGCACGCTGGAAATGAAAATGACTATAAGTGCTGATCTGGTGAACTGGAATTGACTCTTGATAAGTGCTGATTTTTGCAAAATGGAATTGACTTTTACTAAGTGCTGATTTGGCACAATGGATTTGACTCTTAGTAAGTCTTGATTTGTCACATTGAAATTAACTCTAACCAAGTACTGGTTTGACACACTAGAAGTGACTTTACTAACACTATTAAAAGACCTGTTTGCAAGGAAGGTTTTAATTATCAAGAATGGATAATTTTGGTCACTAAACAGTCAGCTGATAATAGGAATGTGTAGAAGACATCAGATTCTTCAAAACTGCAGCAGATGTGTTAGAACTTATCCATAATCAGTTTCATCCAAAGTAGTGGAATACTCAATTCTAAATATATCTATATGAAGTCCTATCTATTTGAGAATTTTTTTTAAAACATTTTTCAACATATTCTGGGCCATTCTAGTGCCTTAGCAATTGCTCAGTTTTATAAAGAGTTATATGTATACAAAGAATATACATGGTCTTAGGCTGATGCCCACAATTAATTTCAACTGTTTGGATTTGAGAAATGATTTAAAATCAGCTTCATTATAGAAGAAAAAATTAATAATTATTTATAACAAAGTCTGTATTTTGTCCTGTAAAGTGAGACACAACTAATGTCTTTTATTAAAGAAGTGCTCTCTGCCATTATTATGGAGACGGAGACTAAAAATGAGAAACTATTTTCCATGTAATAATTTGAACAATACAATGTTGTTCTGATAAACAGGCAACTAAAGAAATAAAAAAAGAACAGTTTAATTAGAACTGAAATTGCACAAGCGGTATATGACAGCATATCACATATAAACAATGTAGCTACATCACAATGCATTTCATAACCTAGCATCTAATAATACACAATTTATAAATGCTGCCCTTAGCGTTATAGACAAAATATACTAGCAAAATGAAGATTATGAATTCAAAAGTTCAATATTATGAAGTGAAAATTTGGTTAAGACAAGCCATTTTTTTTTAAGTCACTTGTCCCTAAACAAATGGATTGTATTATGAACATCCCCAAGTTTAATATGTAACAAATGCAATCATTTCAATTGCAATTTGGAGTGCTATAAAGTCATCTGGGGACTTATCAACTTTTTGTTTTGGGGTTATTGCTATTTCTCAGTGCAAGAAAAGCTATACATAGCAGCCAGTATAATTGGTGGAGGAAGAAGCCAGGAAAAAACTTTTAAGAACCACCCACCCATGGGAAGCTACTAACAAGCTTTGTCACATACCCACATTGGCCAAGCCTGAAATTTTGAACTCAGGTGGACAGAGGTGACATCAGTGCTTTTGACTACTCGGCCACCTTGTGTCACCATGTCAACTGGAGATAAATCTGTATAAAATATAAGGGCCATGGAAGGTCCAGAAGCATGCAGTTTGAAATATGTAGCATGCACCAAGAATTTTTAAAACAATGAACCCCCAAGGATTAAAATATAGGTATCAAAAATTTACTAATTGCTACTCCAAGTTTAATTCTAACCTTGCAGTGTGATATTACTCTGTACCTTATAAAGCATTCAGTCATACCTAAGCTGAAGGCACACTGCTCATCTTATAAGGTTATTGAGCCTGATTCTATAAAAGATGCATCGGGTTGTAAAAAAAAAAAAAAAAAATGTGAAGGACTACCGGAGTATCTTTATCTTCTGCAGATTCCAATAGGTATTATTTTTTATCAAAGTTCTATAGTAGCATCTTAAATAAACCTCAAACATGAAATCAAGGATAAGACAAAATGACATTACAGTAAAGACTCTTTTAGAGACAGGGTTCATCATGTAAGATCATATAATCATAACCTATCACAAAAGCCCATCAGTCTTGAGACCACCATTATATTTTGGAAGAAGGGCTGATCTCAAAACAGGATCTATTGTAATACTGCACCAAAATCTTTGATACCCACATGCTCCACATTCATTTAAAGTCATTTTGTAAGTGACTAAATTCTGACAAATTCTGAAGCTTTACAATCTCTACAAAAAACATAAATATTTCCAAATGTGACTTTTCTCATCCCTGATATTTAAATGGTAGTCAGTTTTTGGAAATATATTGCTCTTTTTCGAAGGTAACAGCAAATATGAGAAATGAATATCAGGAGATGGTCTGCAAAGTTCAAACATTTCTTTCTTTATCTTGGAAGAATGTCTGCCTTCAAATTAAAAATATTCACCAGCATTCTGACAAAATACACAGTATGTGGAAATGAGATCCCACTTTCAAAACTTCAGACTTCTAAAGTAGTGAAACATTTTGAAATGCTTAACCAACATATAAAGGTGAAAGTCAGGTTTAACTGCAAACATGGACACTGATCTGCGATTTCAGATTTGAGTTTATGTTGTTTGTTCTACTAACATCAGAGCTTAAGTCTATGCAGTTTGCAGATGAATTTGACTTATAAGTGTGTGTATATGGTATTCAGGTTTTGTAGCAAAATAAAATATTGGAAAATGAAAACAAATATCAGAAAATGATTGTTTCATGGTTACTAAAAGGCACATTTTTTCACAGCAATAAGAAAATGAAAACAATATTTTCAACATCAAAGCCCCTATAGACCAGCTGTATACAATTTGTCAACAATTGTAAAAGTTTTGTTACTCTAATACATTTTTTACTGTACATAATGACTGCTCTGGTGACCTAGTGGTTAGAGCATCTGCCTCAGATGTGTGAGCTTGTGGGTTCGATCCCCGACCAAGTCATACCAAAGACTAACAAAAATGGTACTAACAGCTGCCTCACTTGGCGCTCAGCATTAAGAGGTTAGTGTTAGAACTGGTCAGGCTAATGTGACTGGGTGGGACATCTGTATACATGTCTGCGGCTTGATGCCCCGGTGTTATACATCACTATAAACTGCCACACTGCAGACATCATAACAATATGACTGAACATTTTTTTAAAATCCATGTTAAAAATCTAAATCAAACTCACACACACACACCGTGGTTGTTCCCGGGGTTTTCCAGGGTTCTTCCTCCACCATTAATACTGGCCGCCATGTATAGCCTATCATGTGCTGAAAAATGGCGTTAAACCCTATAACAACAACAATGTAACAGCACATGCCCTGATGCATAATGCAATAAGCACCTCAGAGTTTATGTTGTTTACAGCTGGGCTTGATTTTTAAGCAAAACTGTACTCAAAGAGATTAACTATTGGAATTACTTAATATTTAAATATATTTCACAATTAAATTTAAGAAGTCCATTTCCAGAGCATTGTAAAAATGTGTAAATAAATGTTTATGAGATTCGTACAGTGTTCAAGCTAGGTATAAAAAGAGGGACCTTGCCCATTATTTTTACATGATTCTATTGTACACCATCTGTTCTATATCTGTAATCTATCTGTATCTATCAATCTATCCATACATCCATCCATCCATACATACATACATACATACATACATACATACATACATACATACATACATACATACACACACACACACACACACACACACACACACACACACACACACACACACACATACATACATACATACATACATACATACATACATACATACATACATACATACATACATACATACAAACATAGAATCATAACTGTTATATGTTTGGGCCAGACATTAAGTTCAAATCTATAAGACTTTTTCCAAATACAAAAAAATAAAGCTCTTGTTACCAAAATTGTCTTTCTAAATGTGTGTGTGTGTTTGTGTGTATATATATATATACATATACAGGGAATGAGATTTGTGCGTGTTTATGTTTGTGTGTTTGTAATTACTGTCATGCAATAGTATTCAATTTAATCTTTATCCTTCATCTGTAGACTATATATGGAACTCCAAATGATAATAATATTTACTGCAGCAGGAAGAGCAAAATAACCTAACAGAAATATTTATTTTTGATTCTCTCAAAACGAACCTAGTGAGGAAACCAGAATGGATGAGATTGTAACAGAACCAAATGCTATAGTCACAGAGAGTACAGAAGGTGACTGATAATATTGGCAAGAGATACTGAAATGAAGACAGCCACAATGTTGGCATAAACAAGGCTTGGAAGTCTAAATTTCCTCCGCTATTATACTGGATGAGGAAGATGAAGATGGGTCACAAATAGATGTCCTATACTTCCATCCATATGGCATCCTACACTGTTCCATCTGTAAGAAACTGTCAAATGGAGCCAATGGAAGGAAAAACTTAGAGATGATACAGCCATATTCACTATCATACAGTATAACTATGTATTCTCAATGGAACAATATGACATGCATGAGTGATGATATTAACGCAATGGCAGATAATTCATTTAATGATGCCCTGAATATTTTTTATTTACGACTTTAAAAAATTCAAACTATACCAACAGGGATTGTATCCAAGAGTTGCTGAGACTTCTTAGTTACAAAGTTGAAGATATTATTACAGATCTATTATTTTATAATTAATGAAGTGTCATATAGTCGTCAATCAATGAAACATCTTGCTATATGTACACAATACAAGTCTTAAAAAGTGGTTAACTATATTCCTTGCAGACAAAGATATCAGCTGGCACAGCAGAATTTATCACTGATTAATTGCAGAAGAAACTGAATAACAAGCGGGAAATGTCTGTATTTCCAACTGATGATGCAGATGTCTTTTAAAGAATGAACAATGAACCTGGGTAGAGACTTAAAGACAAGAATGAAGAATGTACAGTGTATCTCTGCAAGGACCAAAGATTAACTATGACCAGCAAGGACTCTTTTACAGGACTGCCAACAATGAATAAACTAGAGAATATCTCAAAAAAATCTATAAAAGTATTTTAAGTACAGTTGAAGAACACATGAAGTATGAAGGTTATACAAAACAGCTTGAATAAGGCTCATGTTGTAGTCAAGTATTCTAACATCGAACATGGCATAGCTATTAGCAGACTGTCATTACTGTTGTTAGGTGTTGCAAGTTAGTTATCATATACCTGGAATCTTACATTGCATGGAAGTGATCCTGTTGGTAGCAGATTGCTGAAAAACAGGAATGATCCAAATACAAAAATACAATATAAAAAAGTTTCAAAAATTGTCAAAATGTTGATGCAAGACAATGTAATATTAATTGATGCTTAACAATAACTAACATTGTTTTTTATTTCTGAAAAGACAATATGTAAGACACAAAAATGCATACTGAAATCTGAAACCATCAACATACACTGAAATGCTGACTGATTACATTTGTACAAAAAGAGTAATTTTAATCCTTCTTTGGTGGTTCTTTGCCTTGCGGCAGAGGTTTGGGCACCACCATGGTGGATTTACTGACCAGGTGGTGATCCTGTGGCTTAAGACACCATGGAGTCTTTTGTATATCACAGTACAGTTTTACGTTAATAAATTCAGCTGGAGCACCATCAATAACTAGAGAACTGGTACTGATCATGTCATACTTAGCTGTTTTTAGGCCTGTCTCTCTATCCATTCGACTGGTTTTCTGGAAATAAAATGTAAAATACATATAAAAATTACTTCTTTCAGAGGCTTATTTTCATGAAAATGCCAGAATTGTCTTTGTTTGACCTAATATGACAAATTGATTAAATAGTTGACTTTAATATTTAATTTTTAGCTAGATAATGGAAAGGGGAACTAATCAAATAAAGCTATTTGACTTGCTCTTATTATAAACTGTGTTATATCCCATTCTTAATTTTGACAAATTACACTGACAAATGATTTCAAGCTTTTAAATAATCATTACCGAAGCTTCATAATTTTTTATGTCCATAATTAACTCCTTTTGCTAAATTGGAATCAATAATCAGATTGTCTAACAGGAGGAATAGCAACATTGATTAAGAATTAACCTTTAAAACAAAAGATTTGATTAGCCCAATCCCCAATACCAATTACATTCAGCCCTATTCAAGCTTACTGTATTTACTGGCATCAAATATTAATTTGTTTCTCACAATCAAGAAATTAATGAATTTTTGTGATTCCAAAAATTTCAAAAATATTGTTGAACACACACTTTCCAGGACTGACATTGCAGATTAATGATCATTTATGCAAGCTTTCCATTTCCATTGTTAACTGGGAAATTGTTCTGTATTTTTGGTCACATTAGAATATTTTTCCTCAACAACCAGTACATTTGTATTGCAGTTTTAAAAATTGCTGTCTTTCCTGTCACATCAGATTTTTTTTCTTTTTCTCAACTGCATGGAACATCACTCTGCTGCTAAGAAAATATTAATGGTGACAGCAATTGAATATGAGATTAAATTAAAAGTGGACTTATTGAGTTAAACTTACAACATTAGAACTTTGCACATTCAGACAACGAGTGTATATTATTCTTTAGTTTCAACCAAAAATTGAGGGTTTTTTTAATTTAAACTTCTTAGTTCTTTTTTATGTGGATTTGTTGTTGTGGGGTTTAACGCCATTTGCCATTTTTCAGCACACGATAGGCTATACATGGCGGCAAGTATCAATGGTGGAGGAAGAAACCGGGAAATCACCAGAAAGAACCAACGACCCACGAGAAGCTACTAGCAAGCTTTCTCACATATCCACATTCGCCGAATCTTAGACCACTCGGCCATTCCTGGCCCTTTTTTGTTTGGAAGGAACCTCTGATCATTTAAAATCAAGGGCTTTTAAACGTCATTTGTCAAAATTCAAGGAATTTTCAAGTCTGACTTGAATAAAAGGACTTTTCTGAGCTATCAGTGAAATTCAAGTACTTTTCAAGGCTACGCAAACAATGAGATTTGGTGCATTCAGTTTGTTAGGAGCAATCAAAGTCAATGTTGTTTTCCGCTGGACCAGACTTATAAGTAAAGGTACATGCTTACTCATTCTGTGTATTTCCTACTAATTTGTTAAACGTCAAAATATGTTTCTGACATGTAGATAACACTGGTTTGATGGTCCTTTATGATGATTATATGAATTCTCTGTTATTCTGATGTCTTTATCTGTGTTTGGCGAAACTGCACATTTCATTATATAATTATAGAAAAGTTGCACTTTTGCCATCGAAGAATTATCATTGAAGAAAGCTGTTGTGGGTTCCATTACTATAAGTATGACAACTTCAATATTTACTAAGTTTATGCTTGCCTCAGTTGTCTTGCTTGATCATCTAATAGCTTAGGAATATACTTAAATGTGAAATATTTTTAAAATTTGAACAAAAATGCAGATCTGGTAATGCTATCTACCATGCATTTCACTTAATAGGATGCTATGTTAAAGTATTTACTAGTGGAATAAATTGACTTGAACATAATTTCTTCCCCAATCTCTGTATTTACAGATTTAACCACTTTAATCATTGCTATATCACTGAAAAATTGTTAAAGCTATGTTAAAAATCATAATCACATCACATTAGGTGGAATAAATTATATTTAGTAGCGCCATATGTAGATGATCAAAGATGTTACAAAGTACTTAAAAGATTTTAATCAAAATGCAAAATTATTGGGCGAAGACAAAAACAATATTATTGATTTTATTACTGATATTGATGATGCCCCATCTGTAGATAACTTAGATGGATTTATTAATAACCTCGTAGTATACAATGATGTGATGCTAGACAAACAATCCAATTCACCTCGGATATTTTCTCGAGGCCGTCACAAAAATATGGATGTGATTTTTTTTTACTCGGCAATATACAGATACCAAAGGTGATCAGAGACAACTGCAATATTTT